CCTACCATTGACCAGCCCATAGACCTTTGCAATGTGGGGCTTGGACATAGTAGGACCACTTCCAACAGCGCCCGGAAACAGGAAGTTCTTTCTCGCAGCAACAGACTACTTCACAAAGTGGGTGGAAGCAGAAGCATTGGCATCAATCAAGGAAAAAGATGTGAAGAAGTTCGTTTGGCAGAATATCATTACTCGATTCGGCATACCTAAAGCCCTAATATCAGACAATGGCACCCAGTTTGATGGAAAAATCTTTAGAAGCTTTTGTGAAGAATACAAGATGGAATTCTACAATTCTACACCAGCATATCCTCAAGCAAATGGCCAAGCAGAAGCATCAAACAAGGTCATCATGGATGGATTAAAGAAAAGGCTAGAGAAGGCAAAAGGCAAGTGGCAGAGGAACTTCCTCATGTTTTATGGGCTTACCGCACCACACCTTGACGATCAACAGGAGAAACACCATTCTCCTTAGCCTACGACATGGAAGCAGTAATTCCACTGGAAGTTGGCCTTCCCACAATTAGAAACGAAAATTTTGATCCAGACTTAAATGGAGAAACCATAGCATTGGAGCTCGACCTCGCCGAAGAAAGAAGAGAAAGAGAACTAGTTCACATTGCTTCATACCAACAAGAGTTATCCAGGAAATACAACAAAACAGTGCATCCAAGGTAATTCAAGATCGAAGATTGGGTGCTGTGAAAAGTAATGGGAAACACCTTGGTACCAGGAGATGGCAAGTTAGGGCCTAATTGGGAAGGACCTTACAAAGTGGTCGGATTAGCTGGCAAAGGGGCATACCACCTGGAAGATGAGGACGACAAAGCCATTCCTAGGCCATGAAATACTGCCAATCTCAAACTATTTTATTTTTAGTTTTTTTTTTTAAAAAAAATATGTGTAATTTTCCTTTTTCTTAATAAAACAAAGTCGATTCTTTTCAGCATAATTGTTTTTTGTAAAAGATTGTATTAAGAAGTTAAGGACATCAAAAGCAAGGTTGGCTGGAAAAACCAACACCCCTCCTAAGCCCAGGATAAGGATCTAGGTTGCAGGACGTTTGGTCAGAATAACCAAACACTTTACTTTAGGTTGGCTGGAAAAACCAATCTGAAGGTTGGCTGGAAAAACCAACACCCCTCCTAAGCCCAGGATAAGGATCTAGGCTGCAGGACGTTTGGTCGGAATAACCAAACATTTTATTCTAAATTGGCAGGAATAACCAATTTAGTGGTTGGCTGGATTAAACCAACTTTTCGTACTCTTTAGCCGAAATAGGGACATCAGCTAAAGAGTGATTGGCTGGATTAAACCAACTCTTGATACTCTTTAGCCGAAGAAAGTACATCGGCTAAAGAGTGGTTGGCTGGATTAAACCAACTCTTGATACTCTTTAGCCGAAGAAAGGACATCGGCAAAACAGTGGTTGGATGGATTAAACCAACTCTTGATACTCTTTAGCCGAAGAAAGGACATCGGCTAAAGAGTGGTTGGCTGGATTAAACCAACTCTTAACACTCTTTAGCCGAAGAAAGAACATCGGCTAAAGAGTGGTTAGCTGGATTAAACCAACTCTTAATACTCTTTAGCCGAAGAAAGGACATCGGCTAAAGAAGTAAGGACATCGGCCAAAAGTGGTTGGCTGGATTAAACCAACTCTTAGTACTCTTTAGCCGAAGTAAGGACATCGGCTAAAGAGTGGTTGGCTGGACTAAACCAACTCTTAATACTCTTTAGCCGAAGTAAGGACATCGGCTAAAGAGTGGTCGGCTGGATTAAACCAACTCTTAGTACTCTTTAGCCGAAGTAAGGACATCGGCTAAAGAGTGTTTGGCTGGTAAAAACCAACTTAGAAGTTGACTGGATTAAACCAACTCTTGGTACTCTTCAGCCAAAGTAAGTATATTGGCTAAAGAGTGGTTGGCTAGTAAGCTCAGTCAGATTGCTCAGCTAAGACCGGAATAAAGTATCTCGGCCACAAATATTGTTTTTCAAGTTGCAGTTAGAAAGCAAGCACAAACAGGAATGCAAATCGAGATAACAGTTGGAGCAATAGATTTCATTGAAAAGTCATCACAGGTACAAGCATACAGATCAAACCGGAATAAGTGTTGAGCAGAAAAGATGATTTTCATTGATCAAATTCAAAACAAGTACAAAGGAGGGGCCACAGCCCGATTACAAGAGCCAAAAAAAAAAAAAATACAAAATCAGTTAAAAAGATCGTCCAGATCAGCATCCAGCTCAACTCTGAGTCCGGTCTCAGAAGGAAGTTCGGTCGTAGCCAGAACTCGGTTGGGCTCGGTTGAAACAATCTCCTCTGGGTTCGGCTCAGCTGGAGACACGACTATAGCATCAGGCACTGGGGGATTGGAGATCGCTGGAATTGGAGGAGTAGGCTGGCGATCGGGCTAGGAGTCGTCTTCAGAAGAAGAGCCTTCCTCTCCACCTTCTTCAAGAAATTTCTTCTGAAGGTCGGCAGCATACTCCGCCAGTGAGGCCGGAATGAAATACTGTGGAGCATTGTAGATTTCGGTTTCAGGCCCGCAACCGAGCTTCTCCCCTGCACCTCTCCAGCCGCACTTGAAGAACAAATCCTTTGCTGCTTCACATTGTTTGATATAAAGGGCTTCGCCCTCCTTGAAACCCCGGAGCTCGGCGTCTTCTGCCTTCTTCTTCAGCTCCGTTATCTCGGCGTCCTTCTTACCTTCGAGCTTGACTAGCTCACAAAGGTACTTGTCCTTCATCACAGCTAGGGCTTTCTGTTTGTCTGCATCGGCCGAGGTAACTAGTCCGGTCAGACGAGCTACCTCGGCCTCTAGCTCAACCGTTTTCTGGTAGGACTCCTTCAGTTCGGTTGTTTTTGCTTCAACCTCTGCCATGGCTTGCCTTGCTGTGCTCCTGAGCTCCAACACCTTTTTATGCGCAATTTGGCCCTTTTGCACGGCCTGAAAAAGAAACTAAAGTCAAAATCAAACAGAAAGTTGGTGATATTTAGAGAGACAAGAAGAACAACTTACCAGGATCATGGATTTCGTGGCCGAGCGGATGGCCTTTAGCTCGGTCAAGTTCTTGTGGTGCTCCATGTCAGCTGGGAGGCACACACTCTTGGCAAGGTTGAAAGCCATCAGATGGTCTTTTTCAGCGACAACTGAATCAGTGTCCTGAATATCACGATTCTGGAAAGTCAGTTTGGGTGCCCACTTGGAAGAGCTGGCTCGGTCAGCATGTTCCGGTTGCGAGCTCGGTGGTGGGCTTAGTAGCAGAGTGGTTTCGTCTTCATCAATTAAGCGTTGTTCGGTCTGGGTAGTACGGGCGCGCTTAGTTCGGCATGATGAAGAAGGTTGTTGAGATGGAAGGGCCACCACTGTTTCTTGTGTTTGGTTTGGTGGTGGTACCTCGGCCCTATTTGTCTCGGTCAAGAGAGCCCTAACTTTGTTCCTTTTGGCCATCTCTTCTTCAGCAGTCAGTGGGATTAGTATAATTTGTAGCAAGGTTGGGTCCGGTTCGGGGGCGTCCTCCAACAAAAAGTCAGTTACTCTGGCTTTTCGGCGGCCGCTGTATCTGTATGTTAGTTTGAAATTTAGAAGTTTGGCCCAATTTCTTTCTGGAAAATGTAGTGCGGCGCGGATAGTGTTCAGGTTGGGGTAACTGTACAAGGATTGAAGATGGGCTGAATCTGCATAAAGAAGACAAACTGTTAGTTCGGTTCATGAGCAGGTAACCGAAATAAAACAAAGCATGCCAACAAACTGAAGTAATTATACCAGGTTCTCCTTTATTCCAGTTTAGACTTCGGACAGGGATCTGGGCTTGTTGGTCTTCAAAATTGCCAGACACCCATAAAAAGTTATCATCATTCAAGTCTTTGTCCGGTGTGTCTTTTATTATTTTTCTCGGCGGCGGCGTATTCTAAGATAGTAAACCCAGCCGTCTTCTTTTGACCCTATGGAGTATTGATGGAACAGTTCGGTTAAGCCGAGGTTAATGCCAGCACGGCGGTTTAGCTCGGCTATGCCCATTATTATGCGGTATGAGTTGTTGGAAAGCTGGGTTGGGCATATTCTCGTTTGCCTAAGGAATTCAAAAATTAAGGGTTGAACTGGAAATCTTAGTCCGGTTTCTGTTACTGATAAAAGGGTAAAGGGTACAAAGCCCTGGTTTCCCCAAGGTATAACATCTTTTTTGGCTAAGGTTAGGTGGACATCATCAGGGATGTTATAATCCTTTGGAATTCGGCCATGCCACCTGGTGTTTCTACTAAAAACCTATATTTCCCCATTTACTCCTAAGTTATGTATAAATAATGCTTGGTGCTAGCTCGGTCTGAAAATGTTGCTGTGTAGCTCGGTTGAGCGATCAAAAGGAGTGCCTGGGCAACCTAAGTCTGCAAAGTGAAAAAACAGAAGTGTTAAGCACAGATCTGTAGACCGTGCTACAAAGTAAAAACAAGTTAAGTCCAACTTTGGCTTTGTGAAATGTTGCAGGTCCTATCTCGGTTTCAGCAAGGAGCTTGGTAGCTCGGTTGGGGCGAGTGATTTGTTAGATCGGTTGAAATTCTAGGGGCAGCTTTCTTAGTTCGGTCTGAACTAAGAGTGCTGGTTTAGCCCCAAGATAGTTCGATCGGAATTAAGACCTTCAAACACACTAGGTGCAGACTTAGTTCAGTTTGTTATCTCGGATAAGATAAATCAAAAGATGGTTTTTTGACTTGTTAAAACTACTGGTACAAGTGTTGGTTCGGTTGAATGGTCTGGCTAGACTTACACATAGCATAAACAGTATCCTAGTCCGGCTGCATTATGATTTTGGATCGAAAACCAGTGTTCTACAGGGTATTACATGTATTCGAGTGTTCTATTGCTAAGTTTTTTCCAGAAACATACGAATCAAGTAGAAAGCAAGAGTGTGTTTTGCAAAAACACACAAAACAAGATACAGTGGATTGAACAAATACGAAAACAAGAAAAATAAAACAGATTTATAATGCTTACCTGATGAAGATCGAACAGCCTAGAGGATGGGAGCGCACGGCAGCAGCGAAACACGAGCTTCACAGTTGCAAGGTTGAAGGACAGTGGAGGTTAGAAGAGAGAAAGAAGGAGATGAGTGGTGATTCAAAATAGCAAGGGTTTGTTTTGTGTAGATGAAAGGACGAAAAGGCAGGCACTGTTCAAAAAACGCGAGGTACGAGGGCGGCGTGACAGCTATCTTCAGCCAATAAGAGCATGCCACGTGTCCATGAAATAAGAAGCGTTTCAGTTGCTGTGATTGAAGAGACGTTTTGATCGGACAGGTACAATCCGGTGTGAATTTAGCTCGGCTGGAAAGGCTAAGATGGTTTTTTAGCCCAGCTGGAAAGGTTAAAAGGGTTTTTTACCCGGCTGGAAATGCTAAATGATTTTAGCTCGGTTGGAATTCTGAAATTTTTTAGCTCGACTGGTAACAGGTAATCCCTTTCATGCTACGCAGATGGAATTAAGGGGTAATTGAGAGGGTAATTTATACTTATAAATTGGGCCGAGCTGGGTAATGGGTCGTTATGGGCCACGTTGCGAAGGACTGGGTAAAAAGGCCATGAAGTTACTCCGGCTCAAGAGAGGCCATGAAGTTACTCTGGCCCAAGAGAGGTGTAAAGTTACTCCGGCCCAAAAGAGGTATAAAGTTACTCCGGTCCGAAAGAATCTTGAGGTTACTTCGGTCTAAAGGAAGCTTTGAACATAGCCCGGTTGCCTTACTCAAAGTTAGCCTGGTCATTGGCATATCGAGGTTATCTCGGCCAGAACCTTGTTGTTTGATAGCTCGGTCTGATCACACCGTCGTTGGCGCTAGGAGAAACCTGGGTAAGAGTAATGAATCGAAGAGCTGAACTAAAGTGAACTCGGTCTAGTCTGCGGCTTAGCATAAGGCATGCTTACCTCGGTCATAGTGGAGTCTGACCATGGTAAAACCATCTCACTTGGTTTAAGCAGTGAGGAGGGTGTTGAAGGATAAGCATTATTTTTCAGGAGTATGAATCCTAGGAGGACTCTACATAGAAGAGTAAGAGTCCTACTTGGATTGTGCCACACGGAACCTATAAAAGCTCACAAATATCACCTATGGGGAGGTAACACAACTTTGATACACAGAGCTTTCGTCTTTGTCCATTTTTCTGACTTAGGCATCGGAGAGGTTTCCGGCTCACACCCGCCGGCTAGCTCACGTTTGTGTTTTCAGGTGACAAAGCGACGTCGTACGGAGGAGCGTGGACTTGGTCAACAGGATTATACGAGGAGAATTATTTCCTCCCCGTACAATTGGCGCCGTCTGTGGGAAGAACAGACAAGAACAAAAACCTCTTGACTAAACTTCTCCTTTTCCCAATCAATGGCACACATTGAAGAACCACCACAGTCCGCCGTCGACGGGCTGACTCCGGACGGGGGCGCAAGGCGAGAAGGATTACCCTCTGTCCCTCCTATGGCAGATCTGGAGTCCCAACAACATAACTCCAGGAGGATATTAAATTGACAACTTTGCCCTTGAAATTGAGCAATGATATCTTCAATTGTCCGTATTTATAACAAGATTCAAAATTTAGGATCAAATATATTACAATTGAAAAATCATGGACCAAAGTGACACGAGCCCTAAACTATAGGGATTATTAGTGTAAATATAAATATGTATTACATTAATATGATAATTTAAATATAAAAATAAAAAACTATCACTTATTTAGCATATAACCCGTGCTATGCACGAGAAACATGATCTATTATTTATAAATGAGATATCTAATAATGATGCGTAAATGTAAAAAAATTTAGTGAAACATCTCTCCAACTTTTGATAGTAGAGGAGGTGATTGGGGTTGTTGCTGTGCATGGTGTGCAGCAGAAACTGTTGCGCATCTTATTGGGCCCATATCAGGGCCCAATTCAATAATCTAAATCATTTACATTGTAGAAGATATCGAGTAAAACATACCTACAAAAAATCACGTCAATCAGATATCATTAGGTCTTTTATCAAATCACATTTGCATTGAGTTTTATATTTCAAATAATATTTATCATTTTTTTAAAATATAAATGTAATTTGATGAAAGGGCCAATGATATCCGATCGACGTGATTTTTTACAGATATGTTCTACTCGATATCTTCTAAACTGTGAATGGTTCAGATTATCGAATTGATCCCTAGAATGAGCCCAATAAGGTGCGCAACAGTTGTGCGCATCAGCAACCCCAAACTCGTAGAGGAGGTCCAATATGTTTTTTCTTATTAATTAAGGTCTCTCAATAATATTATTAGAGAAATTTCAACTCGTCACAGAAAATTTTCAAATTTCTCTATGAAATTTCTTTGAAGATTTGAAAATTTTCTATGTGCTGAAATTTCTTTGTAAAAATGTTGAGAAATTCCAACTACTATGAAAATATTGCATGTCCTTTATCATATAAAATTTTAATATAAGAGATTTTAAATTAAAAGCACCCCAAAAAACTATCACTTACCTATTCATTGTATAATCCAAAGTTTTTGTGTTTGTGTGTGTATGAATGAATTAAGTGTGACCCAATATAAATTAAGTATGATTGTGGTAGACCAAAAAAAATTAAATTAAAGGAAGTTTAAAAACATTAATTTTGTTGGGAAGATTGTTTTGAAAAACAATTTACTAGTTTTTTTTTTCCCCTTAAAACAATAACTTTTTAAAAAGTACCTAATTTCACACAAATATGAAAATGATATGAAATAATATGTAGTTTGAAACATTTCATTATTTTTAGAAAAAGCATGAAAAAAAAAGAAAAAAAAGAAAACAATAAAAATAATTGCAAGCAAATGTTCGTAAATGGAGAATTCCATATAATTGTTTTATTTTAAAATGTATTTAGGGTTTTTACTTCATTTTTTTTTATACATATTCTTGTTGAAGTTCCCGTTTAAATATTTTCAAATTTTGTTAAAAGTATATATATATGGATAAAATTTCATTTTGATATTTTTTATTTAAGGAATTTGAAAATGTCAAATTAGATATGATTAACATCTATATGATTTTCAAAATTTCAAAATTTCAATTTTTATGATGTCAAGTGAGATATTAGTTAGATTAATAGTTTTAAAGATTTTTAAAATTTCAAATTATATATAGTTAGATGAACCAATAACATTATGCCACTTGTATATTTAATATTTAATAAATCATAAAATTAAGAAAAGAATCAAGACTTTTAAAGGCAAACACCTTACAATATTTTATAATTTAATATTTAATAATTCAAAAAATGGAGAAAAAAGAATTAAGACTTTCAAAGGCAAACACCTTATAATGTTTTGCAATTATATGTAGTATAGATTTATCGTTCTTCTTTTGTTTTGAAATTTTCAAGCTCTCAATTTTCATTGATAATTTTTTTTTCTTTCTTGATTAGAGATATTATCAGAGCCACCACCTAAAAGATATTATTGGAGTATCATGTAGTATTCGCCGTGCCGATCCAAAACAAAATAAAAAAAAAATGTAGTATTCTCAGTAAATGAAAAATAAAAAATACACTAGATACATCATCATTTATCTTTAATTAGCTAACAAATATAAGTTAACATGTCCTATTCATAAATATTTTTATTAGGTAATTAATATGGAGCTTCATGTAAATAATACATATATGTCAACGGTTATACCTGTGGCTATTATTTAAAACTCAACATTATGTTTGAATTGTGAGATGAGAAAAGAAATGAAAAGGTTGGATTTTCTCACGTAGGTGAGAAAGAAAAATGCTAGAGATCCTAAATATTCTATCAAAAAATTTATCAAACACTTACATAGTGTAGACATCCCATTTTTAACCGCCCTTACGACTTAGACACCATCACTTGCACACCCAATGATGAATGTATATGCTTGTTAAGTACTTGAAAGTCCTCAGCAGAATGCCACTGCTCTAAGTCTCAAAACCCTGCAAACCTTGTGCCTTGTTTTTGCACCGGCCACAAGTGTGTTTTGCAGATATTTTTTGCCAGCTGTGCAAGCTGTTTGCACAGATGCTTGTATCTACTCCCACGTGTATGGATGGATGTTTCTGAGGGAGTGGCCTATTTTTCTATAAATATAGGACCTTCTCTCCCATTTTTGAGGGTTAGAAAAATTAGAGCAAAATTAATTTTCTCTCTCTACAATTCTCTCTCTCTCTCTCTTGAAATTTCTTGAGCTTTAGCCTATGCACTCTTAACCAAACCTTCTAATCTTTGAGCTGAGGTGCTTTTGACCCTAACTTGAGCTCTTGAGGATGTGTTTGTGTTGAATTATTGCTTTAAAGTGTCATTCTCTTCAAGAGGTGTAAGGTTTTCTTGTTTCATTGCTTTAATTGCTTCTTCTTCTACTATTTTCCTACTATTTTTCCACTGGTTTTGGTTTGTATAAACTCTGTATTTTTGGGCTGAAACTTGTGGTTTAAGGCCTTAAAGGGTGGAGGGGTGGTTCACCTCTGTTTCCACCTTGCTTCTTTAGTCTTTACCTTTGTGTTTCCCACCTTTACAATATCTTTTTTTTTGAGCTTTTAAACACTGATTTTTAGAGTTATTTTATTGGCTAAAAACATGTTTTGAAGTCCAAAATTGAAGGGGTTAGCTTCCCCTCCTTGTGTCTTGCTTACAAGCCTAGCATGCTCTATGTTTTAGCTTATTGTTCTAGCTATTTTTATCTTAATTTCCGCATGTTTTAGGACTTATTTAGCATTGTTTTAAGACTGTTTCTAAGTGTTCATTACATTTGAGCCTTGTATTGCATGCTTGTAGTGTAGTTGTCCTTATAGGTTTGATGGTTTAGGCCTTAGCCACTATCCTATTTGATTTGATAGCATTTATTTATGGCTTTCCATATTTGTTTTCACCCCTAACCACTTCTCCAACCTCCATTCTTTTTTGGCTTTTGTTTTGCTTTGAAAGTTGGTTCAAACTAGTTACTTGTTCAAAGCATGAGATTGAGGTCTTATGCTTAACGGTTTGATCCCTTTGGGGGTTCATTACCAACGGCATGACACTTCTCTCATGCCTAAAACAACTCTTGGTTTGATGCTTCTTCCCATTAGAGGACTTAAAGCTCATCTTTGGA